GGTTTAAACCTGGCTTTGAGTTTCGAATCCCATTTGCACACTTACTTTCGACTTGTAGCTGCCGCTGAATGTATGCATTTGGTGAAATGTGTCATGAGCCGGGCTCGCCACTTCGACTCTTTTGAACACATCGTCTTCTTCGCCCATTTTTCTAAAATTGTTACCAAGTTAGACTCTGGAATTTTGGAAAAATTGAGCTGAAAAACAAAATTCAGTGTGACTCAGAAACTGCGACTACTTTGGCATTCAAATCGAGAAAATCGAGAAAGACACGTTCGGTGGATTAACGCGAGGAAAACACCGGAATTTGCAAGTTAGAGAGAAAACTAGAAAAGCAAGGCTTTGGACATTGACCAAAGCCTAATAACTTGTGCGTTCTTTTCGGGAAAAACAGCATCTAGTACACGGCTTTGTTCAGTGTGCCAGAAAGGGTGCGTTACTAGCTTCGTTCCGAGTGCTCTTTGTGCTCACCAGGAAACGCACACCTTCTAGCACACTGAGCTTTGTTTCCAGTGCTCTTTGTTCTCAACAGTAAACGTACACTTCCTGGCACACTGAACTCTTTGTCTCAATTGGTTCTTTGTGCTCAGCAGTAAACGCATACTTTCTGGCACACTGAACTCGCCCTTTCCTCAATTGGTTCTTTGTGCTCTTTGCGAAACGCACCTTTTCTGGCACTGAAAACCGTTTGCCAGATGCTGTCTTTCAATATGACGCGGAAAGAACGCACAACGGAAATCGCTAATGAGCAAGGAAAAGAGGGAATTTAGTGCACTAGAAAGGGTGTGTTTAGCCTTGAGCACAAAGTACACTTTGAGAAGAAATTGAGGAAAGGAAAATCTTCAATTTCTAGAGCTCAACCCGGGCAACAAGTGAGCCGGAAATAAGCAAATTTCACTAGTTTTATACTCCGAAACAATTAATCAGCGAAAAAGGCGGGGAAAAGGGAAAATCTTCAATTTCTAGAGCTCAACCCGGTCAACAAGCGAGCCACATTCACTAAAAGGAAAATGTTTTTCAATCTCGGCAATAAGCTACAGAAAAGCCGAAAGATTTTGGGGAATTTGGAGGAAAATCCGGATTTTCTCAGAAATACAATGGGGAAAACATTTTCCGATCAAATTTTCTTTAGAATTTCTGCGATTAGGCTAATTGGCGGAATGCTTGAAGAAATGGTTCAAATTTGAATATCAAATCGTTACCGTAATCCCAGCGGTGATATTTATCGGTAAAGAGATTAGGTGAAATGATTTGAGAAGAAGAAACAATGGATACAGTAAGCAGAGACTAGTAAAGATAAATAGTAAAGAGCAAAGATTGACAATATAGGAATAAAGGAATGAGGGAATAAAGGAATAAAGGGTAAAAAGGAAATCCATCAAAAAGACGGCGTCAGTGTCGCATTCAAGCCATTCAAGTGATGAAAAAGGCGAATTTTTAGGGAAAAAGTTAGCCTTTACTCTACTTTACTATAAAAAGAGAGTTTTTACGTTTCTTTACATAGTAAGCTACTGAGCCAGGTTGATCGATCGGCGTTCAGGGCTTTAAGTAGGCTGCTGTTTGGCGAAATTGGCGGAAACTTTAAAGGTTTCTATCTCGAGAGTGACTTATGATGAGTAAGATTTGAAAGCACTTTTGGGATGCCCTTAACCAAGTGTTTGCTCCGGAAAGAGATTGCTCTTGAAATTGAGTTCTCTGAACTTCAAAGAGTTCCCTGGAAAGGTATATTAGTAATAAGACAGTAATGAGACAGTAATGAGACAGTAATGAGACAGTAACAAGACAGTAACAAGACAGTAATAAGACAGTAATGAGACAGTAATAAGACAGTTTCGCAGTCGAAAGATGAATGTGATTTCAAGCGTTAAAACATTTTTCAAAAAGAGAAAGTTCGATTTTCGTTAAAAATCTGTCTCCAGAGAGTTGTGAATTCACAGAAATTCACAGAAAATTTGCAAATTAATCAAAAGTTTTGAGAATTTTTGAGAATTTTAGAAAAAAAGGATTTTGATGGAATTTGAGAACTTTCAAAAATTCAAAAATTCAAAAATTCAAAAATTCAAAAATTTCAAGTGCCAGGTCAGCTTTTTTGTGGATTAAGCGACGAGAATTTGTTTGGAATCAAAAGAAAATCAATCTGTCTGTCTATTTTGTACTCGAGATTTTGAGAGCTTTTTTGATAAAGAGGATGAGAGAAATGGGACGAAAAATATGAATGAAGAAATATTAGCGCTTTGAAAGAGGAATTTCAAAATTTTCTTGAAGTGGAAGGGTTAGAATTTTGACTTTACTCCATGGTTTCCATTGTTTTACGTGAACTTTTCCCTTCTAGCGCACTCAATTCCTTGTTTTTCAGAAGTTTTTAGAGATCAGAGTCTCTCGAATCCAATTTTGACCAAGGAAAGTAAGTGTTTTGCAAAAATTTAGCTGGAAAACGGGAATCCTATTTTCTCTAATTGAGCGTTGCCTAAATTCCTCGAAATCTCGAGAACCGCTTATCAGAACCTATCGATGTGGGATCGGAAAATGTAGCTGACGATGAGATCTTGTAGCTGATTAGAGTGTTGAGCTTCTGGGAAAGCTTTGGACGCCGTAAAATCGTCACCAACTCGGCTCACCACTACTATTCGGAAAGCCAGTTCAAGCCTGATTTCTGGTTTCTCTAGTTTTTGTTTGATTTGGTGGTTGACTTTCTTACAGCGATCTTGGCAAGCTTGGCTTAGCTTATTCATAATCAGCTGAAATTCTTAATCGGCTACGTGGGTACGGCCGATTTTGAATCAAACGTTGTAGCGCCCGCTCCCCTTCAGTTTTGACGTTTAAACATAAAAAAGAAAGCCGATGAGCTGAGGGGCAAGGAAATATCTTCCCTAAGCCCTAAGCTCGAAATCTCATAAACCGCTTATCAGAACCTATCGATGTGGGATCGGGAAATGTAGCTGACGATGAGATCTAGGGGGGGATTTGAGTGTTGAGCTTCTGGGAAAGCTTGGAAAGCGTAAAATAGTCATCAACTCAACTCGGGTGCACTACTATTCGTGAGAGTTCGATAATTTCAAGGTCCAATTGAATCAAACTGACTGAAATTCTCAAAATTGCTTCGATGAGCCAGAAAAGTCACGATTTTGATCTAAATAAGTGATCAAAGGTGGTAAAAAGTTTTGAATCTTATTTCCGAATAACAAGATCGACAAAAGCTCTGAATGAAAGGCAGAACTTTGGTTCAGTTATTTCCATCAGTTGATTTTAAAAGTTTTCATTTTATACGCTCCACCAACTTCACGTTGACTCAATCATCAAAAAACCCAAAAATTGTGTATATGCAGAAAGCGCAGAAAACGAAAGAAATCAATAAATCAATGAAAAAAGCGAAAAAAAAAACTAGCGAATGAGTTGATCAGAGATCAGAGACAAATCATTTAAACAATACAGAAAAACATTTTTTTTTGTTTCACACACAAATGAAGAGAAATCTTAAAATTTTCTTTTCTTTTCTTTTCTTCACGGGTTTCTTAATGAATCTCGTTGTGATGCCCATCTCTAGACGGAAAATATTTTGGGGAAATTCGTTTTGAAATCGGCTTTGAAATCGTAAAAATGATGAAATGAAATGGTAAAAATTTCAGAAAAAATTTCCTCCGGATTTAGCGGATAAATTTACTCCGTAAAAGTCTACACTTCGGATTACTTTGTCGGGTGGTGAACGGAAACAAAAACTACGTCGCATCGCATCGCAAAGAATCACAAAAAGTGAAGCAAAATATCCAAAAATAGGTTCATCTTTTTTTTTTTTTTTTTGGAACGGAAATTAGCGATTTTTCCCTTTTGATGGGGTCATTTTCTTAAAAAGGAATTTTTCTATTTTTGGTTGGATCATCATAAAAATGTAAAGTAGAGATTTACATATTTTTTTTCCTTTTGATTCAACTCATTGTACAAAAAAAATTTTATCATTGTAAATTGTTTGATTTTAAATTGCACAACTGAAGGATACAATGTTTTCAACAAAAACAAATCCTTTGAAAAAAGCCAATAACTTTTGGCCAATTAAAGCCCAATTAAAAAGTTCACTAAATCAGGAAATCCTTGACGCTCAAAAAGCTGAATCCAGAAGTTGACCATTGTTGTTTTCGGAATCAGAATCGTTAAAAAGCTTTACGCGAACAATAGCCAGCTCTCAATGACTTTTGATCAAAAAATGCACTGAAAAGAGATTTGCTTTTGAAAACTTTGATCCAGTAACCCTATAAAGCTCTGGAGCAAGGAAAGGTTTCTTTTAATAGGATCCTCAAAAAAATTTCTGTTTAAGTGTCCCAGATTTACAATTCTAGAGAGATCTCGTTCAAAACATAACACAAAAGATTTTTCTAGAATAAAAAAATGTCATGTGCACATCCCTTTTCTCGGTGACGGCCTCATCAGTCCCATTTATCCCCTTTTCATATCTGTAAGAGTAGGAAAACCAAGGAGATCTCAGTCCATTTTGTGAGGTAGGCAGCCGACCACCACTAATCCCAATGTTGAGAAAGGGATCAGAATGCTTTCGTCGACAATTTTTGACTCTTTTTATCCGGGGAAAATCCATGTGATTCTCAGAGTTGTGTCGAGATAAAAGTACAATGGTTTGGGAAAAACAGTGAAGTCTTTGATACGCAATATTATTTAGGCAAAATATCGTGTTTGTTTGACAAAAATAAGAGATATTCAGATAAATGTTTTGCAGAGATTTTGCAGGCTTAAGTTCTTGCTTCTGTTTCACATACCTAGCAATCCTACCAATTTTCCGGTTTTTGATCAGAGCACAACCTATTGAACCCTCGTTTAATTAATTTGCCGCATACATACAGGGATTGTTGTGAATAAAGGCATAAATTTAGCAAAGCAATAACAAACAATAACAACGTGAGAGATATTCAGACAACATTGAAAAAAAAGTGGTAGTAAAAGAGGCACTAAATGGAGATCAAAAAAATTGTAACAAGAACCATAGAAAACAACTAGGCATAACCACTTGACTTGGCGATGTTCACGTAAACGGCTTGCTCCCCGTCATCGAGTTTGTTGAACCTCTTCTCAAACTTGCGAAGGCGCTTCTCAGGCGAATATTCCGCAAACCTAAAAACATTTTGTAAGATGAGCCTCATTTTGAGCGAAGTACTTTCAAGCAACTATTTAGTCAACTATTCAGTCAATGAAATTTGGCAACTGCCCCAATTCTTTGAGCTCCTATATGCAATTAACCAGATAGAAGACTTTTTTAGTTATCAAAAACTCGCAATGTCGGGTTTCCGGCCATGTATATATCAAGCGGCGTTTTCGGTTTGGGTTGATCCTTTCTTGTTGCCGACTTTCCATTTTTCCCTCCAGCAGCAATACGCTTTGGTTGAGGATCGAGCTAAAATAATTGTAGTCAACTTCACAGAAACAAGTACAAACCTTCTTTTTCTTGTTGGCGATCATCGTCTTCACATACTCGATCTGGCCTTGCGTCAAGTCATCGGCTTCTTTGTGGCTACTCAGAAAAGCCTCAAGTTCGCGTAAGTATCTAAAATTTAGCTAACAACTAAGCTACCAATGGGTATGCGTGTAATTGTACCATGTTTCAAAAACTTACTTCCATTCGGCCTCCAACGTATCCTTTTCCGCTTGCTCCTTTCCAAACGTGTCCCCATTCATTCGTTCATTCAGTGCCTAAATGTAAGATTTACATGTCCAAAAAGCTTAGGAAACCTTCACTGCCGTAATTGTGTAGGTGATGTTCCTCTTTTTTGCGTAGAAAACGGCGGCAACTGGTGGACGTTTGGGGAAGTCGGGGAAAACGTGTACAGAGGTTCCTCTAAAATAGTGAAATATATTAAAATATCTACACTTGAATGTCTCTTGACACAAACTTGTTGAGTGCTTCTTCCAGTGCTTGCAATCCTAGGCCAATGCTTAGCACACCTTGTCGAAGTGAGTAGCGGATGTAATGCATGAGCGATGTAACCAGTCTTCTAAAAACAAAGGTAATGGTTAGTTTGTTTCAAAGTGATAAAATTTCAAAGACTCACTCCTTGTCCTCAAAGTCGGAGTTGTTTGCAAACTCGGTTGCCACCTTCTTAAGCTGCTTTAGGCTGCTCGCTTGCTGTTTGCCCATTTTGAGGTGCAACTCGAAGGCCTAAAAAGAATGCTAACAGAACAAAACGCAAGACAAACCTCCTTAAACTTAAGCACGTATTTTGGCGCAAGAATGGTCCCATCTGTTGCTGCGAGTGACTAAATATACATGCCACAGTGACTTCAAAAATTTTCCCAACCTCCGATTCTGATTCCACGTCATCATCATTTTCGTCATCTTCTTCTAGGCGTTCTTTCTTTGGCGACCTGTGGTCCGACATGTACTCGGTGATTTTTCGTTTTCTACTCTAAAAAAGAAATTTTTATTCAGTAAAACATCGCTATTAAGGCGCTAATGAATTAGGATTTTTCAAAAACTTACTTCTGACCCTGCGCTAGATCTCGGAGTCAGCTGACTCATCCTAAAATTTGCATATGAGAACATCTGTAAAACGTAAAGACAAATAAAATCTTCTTGACAAAGATAGGTAGAGAGCAATGGGGTGAACCATTTTATATACCGTCCAATATAACGCAAAAACTTTATTGACTGTAGACCAAAATCACCAGTGTTCTAAAAGGAATCGGTAATAAAAACTACTAGCTATTTAAGACCTAGACATTATGAGCAAGGTAATAATCATAACATAGCAAGAAAAGCCGAAAAAGAACAAAAACATCACAAAGTTGACAAAAACGATAAGACAAAGAATATTTATTGAAGGACTAGACCGACTTGATTCGGCTTCATTTCGGGGCACTTCCAATTGTAGAGATAGTACTGTAGATTCCCGTCACCGATGCCAAACTTTAGTTCTTCGAGCACCTAAAAGAAAATACATTATTAGCAAAACATTTTTTTTTATGGGAATGTTATGTTGTCGACCAAACATAAAATGACTACAAGCTATCAACGTTAAAAAACACTAACATCTTTGTTGGCCATAAGATCCAAAGCATTAAACACATCGAATCCAGCCTTGCGAGCGATGATCAACGCGTCGTTCATGAGTTGCTTGAAAGGCACCGTCGTCGCCACATTGTAGTACGAGTAGGCAGCGTTGATCTTCTTATGTTGCGGATTTTGCATCACCGAGCTGGGCAGAGAATAGAATGAGATCATGTCCGTGATTTGTCCTTTCTCTTCCAGTACGTAGCTGTAGATGACGTCATCCCTAAAGAACACTTGAACTCATTAAAAGTACAAAAAGTTGCCTTGGTAGAAATATGTGCTCAAACTCTTTCTGATCAAACACCGGTGCCAGATTGTACTTTTCGAGGTGGCAGTTGAGTAGTTTGTGCGCTCCCTCAATGTCTCTAAAATAAAAGATGCAACAAGTTATGTATCGTAGCGTTACTTCTTTTCCATCACTCGCAATCCTGTGCTCTTCGTATCATCGGGCAACTTGTAAAGTTTGATCGTACGAAGCATAGTAGACTTTGGTGACAAAGAAGAGAACTTGCACTAAAAAAAGCGATATTGCTATTTGCAGACAATTTTTTACCTCGATCAACTTCTTCGGATTGAGCGACCGATGATAGTATCTAAAATTCATCTGTTAGTAAAAAGTAAACAAACAACAGCCTATTGATTAATAACCCTAACAATTTGCACAACTGATATCGCTTAACGACGATAAAACGTGAACAATCCGCACAAACAAAATCAGAAGTATGCCCGGCTAGAAATCAAATGTTCAACAAGGATTCTCTTCGCATCTGGGTCATCCTCGGACTCGGGAACGTGATCAGAGACCGACCGAAGAATGGTAAACCGAGCGTCGCCAATCCAGCTTTCCACGGGTTTTCGCTAGTTGAACTAGTTTTTCAGGATCGGGCTCAATTGACCGCGCTCTACACACTGTTAACGGAGAATTATGTGAAAGATGACGATAACATGTTTCGCTTCGACTGCTCGGCCGACTTCTTGAAATGGCCCAGGTGTTTTGTGAGAGTTGGGTTTAGAAGCTTTAGGCACAACGGACTGATTGAGAATAACAAACAAGTGACAGTTGTGCATGTGTTAATCTCATAAACCTGTCTTACCGACAAACGGCCACTGGCTTCGGTAGTACGACTCCCGCAGTAAATGCAGCCTAAATTACAAAGAGTATAAAGCAAACTATATTATAGTCACCTGAAATATTCCTTGTTGATTGACACGTCTTGTGATTTCCCGAATGAGCACTGGTGCAACGCGCTTCTGTCGGAGCTTCTTGTGCTAAAATTTACTGGAAATTTCATTCGCCATCATTTCCCTCACCACGCATAGGAAGTTGATTTCGACCATTTGCTTCGTCTTGTCATAGACCCGAATTTTCTGTGGGACGGCAGAGATGAACGCGACGAGCCTCTTTGTCGCCTTGGCACGCACGCCGCAATGCCATTGTGGAAGCCACCCTAAATTGAAAATGTAAAAAGCGAAATCAGCGAAAAAGCAAAGTTATTCAACAATGGGAAACTCAATCAGTCCGTTGTGCCTAAAGCTTCTAAACCCAACTCCCACAAAACACACCTGGCACAAGGAGTGCCCATTTCAAAAAGTCGGCCGAGTAGTCGAAGCGAAACATGTTGTCGTCATCTTCCACATAATTCTCCGTTAACAGCGTGTAGAGCTCGGTCAATTGAGCCACATCCTGAAAAAAAATAATTCAAAAATGTCAAGATAAACACTTACATTTAAATCTACATCGCTCCACTCGAAAGCATCTGGCAGCGAGAATGGTTCCGAGCGAATCTACAAAATAAATTACGACCGGCTTATTTTAAAGCGATACCTGATCGGCTTGTAGATCTTCTTCTATGTGCGTGTTCTCTTCAACGACCTCGTTGAGTTTGGGCACGGGCTGCGTATTCCAGAAGTTGTACTGGTGGCTGAGAGCCGAGTTGAGATCGCGCGCTGCCGTGCCCTAAAGAAAATACATTAGTTAGTGCCTGTGAAGGGCATTAAATTTTTCAAAAGCAATTATCTTTCTCGCATTGTTATTTCTTTTCTAGTTATTTCTGTTATTTGTATTTCTAGTTCTCAAAGGCAGTTTTAAGGTGAAAGAGCTTATCGAACCTTTGTTTTATTTAATGATTTGTTTCGGAACTAGGATGACAACAATTTAATAGCTCGGCGAACAAGTCAAATATAGATCTAATACACAATAAGAAATTTACCGTTGTTAAGCTCTGCAAGTGAGCAGCCAACTCCATCACCGTTTGTGGGGTCATTGTACTTCCTCGCGATCCGGACGGTTGTTGATCTATTGAATCGGGCTCGACTCGGTCCGCGTTTTTTGCTTGTCCTCCCTCAGCGCCACCACTCACTCCATTCTCCTTAGCCTCCTTCGTTTTGCGGGGCATCTAAAAATGAACAATATTATTTGAAGAATGATAAATACACGAAAAGTATGAAAAAATTGTACGCTAAGGAAAAGATTGTAAGCTTAAGGAATTTCACACTCAACTGGCATTTTACTTGATTAAATTTGAACCGGATTTCAACAAAGTTATCACTATTGGTTACGTATCAAATTTGGTGCTTCAAGAATTGAAAAAACTGTTTCTAGTTGTTGCATTTATCATTTCAGAGGCATGGCAAAGTTCGAAACCTTAAAAACTCAGAAGAAAACGAAGCAAAAGGACAAAATTTTGGGCTCATTTAGTGGGAAAGAAACAATTGCAGGGCTAGAAACCGATTCAACACTGCTATTTTTGAGGAGAACTTGCAATAATTACGCACAACAAAAGCTTATAATGAACAAATGTTGTAGTTTAAAGTTGAAATTAGGTAAATGAGCTGCCGAAGCGACCAGCGACTTCAAAATGCGATGGAAAGGCGATGCTGGCTTGTTTTCAAGAGGCGTCATTTGTATCCAAGTGTTTAGGCCAATCTCTTTTCTTTTAGGCACAATTTGTCTCTACTTCTTTTACCTTTTGGGATCAATTTTCTCATGATAACCCTTTGATTACATAAAAATATGGGAATTGCCTGTAAAAGGGGAAAATTGTGCACTGCGGCAATCTCACAGGTTCTTTGGAGAATCCTATTTGTAAGTTGGAAACTGGATTTGTAATAAAAGAAGCGTCTAGTTTTTTTTTCGAATCTCCACCTCTAGGCACCCGGAAATGTGTGTATTAGACTGCCTGAGGGTTTTTCTTTGGAATTTCTGAACCGAGAGCCATTGCAGAAGGAGGTGATCGGTGTGAAGAGGGTTTTTAAGAATAGATTTGGCTAATTTTAGTAAATTTTGATTACAACAACTGTAATCAAAAGTCTTGCAATCAAAAGTCTTGCAAATGCTTCCCTCCCTCCAAACAGGTTTTGTAGTACTCAAAAAGATTTTCAGACTTTATTGTCCACACGAAATCTATAATATATAATTTAATCGCACTTTCTCATTGTCAGCTCGTAATCTGATATCAAAATTTCACTCCAATCCTGGATTAAATACATACCATAAATACTGTAATAGTATCCTCATCTCCATAATGACGGTGCGGAGTGTTGTGTAGTCTAGCTTTGAACGCGTTTTTCTCAACACTAGTTTATGCTACAATGCGTGCTTAGGTTTCAAAAAATAGCTGAAATTCAGGGCTATTTTTTTGATATCAAAGATGCGGGGGTGGGACAGATGCTACCTTTTTTTGCGCAGCTGGACATTTGCGCATCTTTTTTTTTGCTGGAAAAGGCCTTAGGAAAGGCCGTAGAGCTTCGAAAATATTTCCATATAAGGGAATCGTATGCGTAGATTCCGAATTTCGACAAATCACACCTCGCTGACACGTCAAATTTGGGTTAAAAGGCAAAAACTACGCAACTTAACGCTTTTCCGCAGTTTTTGCCTTTTAGCCCAAATTTGACGTGTCGGCGAGGTCTGATTTGTCAAAATTCTGAATCTACGCATACGATTCCCTTATATGGAAATATTTTCGAAGCTCTACGGCCTTGCCTAAGGCCTTTTCCAGAATCCCTGAATTTCAGCTATTTTTTGATATCAAAGATGCATTTTTTGAAAGCATGAGCGCTTTGAAAAAAATGAAATACTAAAAAACTTTTGCGACTACGCGACTTTACGAGGGGCGTATTATTACAGTATTTTCTTGTTCACTGTTCATTTCCGTGCATTTCTATCATTTCCCAAAACGCACACTTTATTATCGTACCCGGAAATATCGACAAGAAACACGAAATCAATTGCCACATGAGAATAGCACCAAAATGTTTGCATTTTAAACAAAAAAGGATTTCAAGATTTCAAGTAAAAACAAGAATGGCAAGATGAGCACAAAAAGAGTGAGCAAGTGACGTTGAGCAATTGAAAAAAATGAAAAGAGGAGAATGGGAAAGATCGTAGTTTGGGGAGATCAACGATAAGATCGATTCAAATCGATAGATCAAAGATTCAAGATAAGAAACAGATCGATTCAAGATTCAAGATAAGAAACAGATCGATTCCTGTGCCCCACTTAAACCTCATTCTCTCCAAATCTAATCTTTCCCTGTCTCCGTTTCAGTTAAATGCAATGCAATGCAGAAATCAATCATTTAAAGCATTTCTTTTTCTCCGTATGGATTAACAGAAAGAGTTGATTTGATGATAAGTGGACGTCCATTGATTGGCGGAATCTCCGAATCGAGAGTCGTTGTGAAAGGAGTCGATGTGAAGGTGGGACGGCGACTGCTTCTAAAAAATCGATTCTGATAACTACAACCAAGCTATAAGAGTCAAGGAAAATGCTATGGTAGTCAAGATTTATACTAAAATCCTTTCACAACCTAATAAAACCTAGAATAAGTCTTGCTAAATCTAGAATAAGTCTTGCTGAACAAGTTTTTTGTTGTTGTTGTTGTTGTTAAACCTTTTCCCCTTACCCGAATGACGAGTTTGCTTTACTGCTCCTTCTGGATCGGGTCGATCGACGAAGACTCGAGATTCTGCTTGCGAATGACGTCACCTGAATATTTGAAATACAAATAAGTAGGTAGTCGAAATAAGTAGAGTAAAGTTCAACTTGTAAAAACTCATAACTAAGTTGAACTTTTACAAGTTGAACTCATTTTCTTCATAAGCCATGCTAATTCTAATTCTAAGCCTATTTCAAAGCAAATAAACGCATGGGATCTAGTTTAACTTTATTGCACCAGATCCCTTGCGTTTCCGCATCACTTCCCTGCTTTTGGATGACTCTAGACAGTCATCTAAAGCCATGCTCACCAGAAAATTTTGGGGTTTTAAAAGGTACAGATATTCAGCTAAGAATTCAGCCAAGAATTCAGCTAAGATATTCAGCCAAGTTATTCAGCCAAGATATTCAGCTAAGAATTCAGCCAAGACATCCAATCAACACATCCAATCAAAGCTTTTTCACACACTCTCATTAAAAGTGCTCCGATTGGATTCGAAGGTTCCGTCTCAGATTCTCCTTCCGATGAGCTCGATGCACCAAATCGTCGCACGAGATAGCCGCCAACTTGACCCAGCTATATTCAGAACAAATTTTTGTATTTCTAGTTGATAAAGCTATCGAATTTGAAGACTACACTAGCCACAAAGAGACTTTAAAACTTTAGTGATCAACTACAACAACTACTCCGCCAAAAAAAGTGCTATAAAGTGCTATTTTTTTTACAGAAATAGCCGCCGACTTGAACTTGCTACAAATATTGTGTTTCTTATTGATAAAGCTATTGAATTTTAAGCTTTAATTCTAAAGCTACAGATTTGCTACAGATTTCAGTAAGAAATTGCAGCACTTTAGTGACCCATCCCTATCATCAATCATCTTTAAATCTCCAGTTAAAGATGCTAAAGATGACATCTAAAGCCTCAATCTTTCTCTATTTCTCCAAACAACACCAAAATTCTACCAAAACTCTACTCAAACCGATGAAAAAAAAAGCAAATTACAGTTACTTTTATCCTAAAAAGCTAACTCAAAGCAAATCTAGAACAAAAGTGAAAAAGAAGAAGCTAAACACTCCAGTGAAATCAAAAATTCTTATTTGATACCCTCTAGACACCAAAAGCAAGGAGAACAACACTCGAAAAGTACTGTACATAGTACTAGTACCTATTGACATAGTACTCGTACGTACTGTACATAGTACTCGTACGTACTGTACATAGTACTCGTACGTACTGTACATAGTACTCGAAAAGCTGTGGGTAGAAGATTATCACGCCAAGAGGTGACTACTTTCAGACACTTTCAAGGAGAAACGAATACCAGATCTCGGCACGAGAAGCAGCGATTCTCTGGATGATCGCCTTGTTCCATTGCCCGCTAATTCCACTGTTAGGCGATTTCCCAATGGTTGATGAACGTGTAATGGAGATGGGGGATGGTCCCCATTGTGTAACATCATCGAATTGCAGCGACTACGCTGCAAGTGTACATAGTGGTGTACATGATACTGTGCATAGTACTGATACCTACTGATATGGTACTAGTACGTACTGTACATAGTACTGATACCTACTGACATGATACTAGCTAGCTACGTACTGTACATAGTACTAGATAGCTACGTACTGACATGATACTAGCTAGCTACGTACTGTACATAGTACTGATACCTACTGACATGGCACTAGTACGTAATGTACATAGTACTGGTACCTACTGTACATAGTACTAGCTAGTACGTACTGTGCATAGTACTGATACCTACTGGCATAGCACTAGTACTTACTGTACATAGTACTGATACATACTGACATGGCGCTAGTACGTACTGTACATGGTACTAGCTGACATTTCGACAGTATTACTGTTTCAAAAGCAAAAACTATTCCTTTTTTTTTGTTAATCAGTTAATCCAAAGCAATTGTTATGCAATTTGAACAATTCTCTTCAACTTTCTTCTCAAAACACGATCACATTTCTGTTCTAAACTACAGTTAGGATTAGAAATTGTTCTTTTAACTAATACGTTTTCTAAAAGACACTTAAACCTACCGTAATCTTAACACTTTTCATTCAATAACCTCAATTTGACTCATTCCCTTATAAAATATACTCAAAATTGAGCTAATCGAATAAAAATTCGAAAATAGACAACTCGAAAACTCTTAGAAAACGTAGGAAATGGTTAGTTCACTTTTTTCAGCTTCTAGCTGAAAACTTTCAACTTTTTAGCTTTGTTTTTACTCACAATGTCTGATGTGTTGATGATTCGGCTCAAGTTGAGTCGCTTTTGTTTTCTTGTCAACCAAAAGAACAGCAGCGGATTCCAGAGGACTAAAATTTTAGCTATTGTATTCGGAAGGTTTACTTGAGATTGTTAAAGTTAAAGTTAAAAATTTGAGTTAAAGAATTCAATTCAATTCAATTCAATTCAATTCAATTCAATTCAATTCAATTCAAAATCAATCCAAATTCAAATTCAAATTCAATTCAATTCAATTCAAATTCAATTCAATTCAATTCAATTCAATTCAATTCAAAATCAATTCAATTCAAAATCACTTACCAAGTGACATCGCGATCACATGAGCGCCAAGTGGGAAGAAAATGGCTGACTTTTTTAGGAAATCTGGCTCTTTCTCTGAAATTTTTCAATTATTCATTAATTTTGCATACTTTTTTAAACTTTAGCTATCGATTTTTTGATACTTTAAATATGGTTTTTTAGCTTTAAATTTCTGCTAAAACTTACTGTAATCTTTCAAAATGTTTACAACGGTCAATGGAAGCCAGCAAATGATAAACGTGGCCACCATTCCGATCAGAATGTAGTTTACCTGGAATGGGGAATTCGAATAAAATGAACCACAAGGAATTGTTTGGGGTGATTAAAGATTAAAGAGCTCAAATTTTCTTTCCAAATTTCTTTTCCAAACTTCTTTCGAAATTTTCTTTTCAAACTCACTCTTTTCTTTCGATTCACCGCGTCGATTCGTTGCTTTTGGCTTAAAGAATGACAGAATTGAGCGTTTTGAATGATCGAATCGCGTGCGACTTTGTTGAGAATCATAAAATAGCAGAAAGAAATGATCAGCATTGGGACGACAAACTGAAAAATTCATTTAAGAGCTTTAAGAGCTAGATCACTGAGCTTTTAGGGCGGTACTTTGTACTTTGTACTTTGAAATTAGATGTACTTTGTGCTAAAAGCTAAACGCAGTCTTCCTATTGCATTCAAAGCCCTCTTTTCACTGCCTTCCTGTTGTGCGTTCTTTTCGCGTCTCGTTAAAGGCATCTAGCTGTGTCCAAAATGCCAGAAAGGGTGCGTTTACCGGTGAGCACAAAGAACGGATGGAGCCTAGCTGTGTCCAAAATGCCAGAAAGGGTGCGTTTACCGGTGAGCACAAAGAACGGATGGAGCCTAGCTGTGTCCAAAATGCCAGAACGGGTGCGTTTACCGGTGAGCACAAAGAACGGATGGAGCCTAGCTGTGTCCAAAATGCCAGAAAGGGTGCGTTTATCGGTGAGCGCAAAGAACAGATGGAGCAATTTGACATTACTATTTCGAAATTGGATAATTAAGCCAGCATTGAAATTGAATGGAAATCGAAACATGGGAATTGAATGCTTTAGAAAGAGTGTGTTTACATTTAAGCACAAAGTACATTGTTTATTTGAAACTTGGCAAACCTGCAACAACATGACAATCGTTCCATACAATTGCCTTGCACTATCGCTTGCCCATTTTGTTTCTGAAAATTCAAAGCAAAGATTACTGTAACTGTCTGGATACTGGAAAACCTCTGGTGTGGTTACCGAATAGGGCTAGGATTACAGTACCCCCAAAAGAACTCTACTTTTTGTAATCCGGATTACTGTAAGCAACTAAATGAGCTAGGATTACAGTAGAGTAGATTAGCTAGGATTACGGTAGAGTCAAGTTTTAGAGTAGTTTACTGTGATGAGCTTCGTCTAATCCTTTTAACTGTACTACTTGGGGTTACTGTACTACTGTAAACGACGAATCGGATTGCGGTAACTTACAACTTACCATCACAAAATCTGCCACACAACGGCGCCTCTCCTTCTTTCACATAATATCCACCATCAACGAGATCAAAGCTCAGAAAATATGGATAATTGATGAGAGTCGAGACTGACCAAATAAAAGTTGTAATGAAAGAGGCTTGTCTTTTCTGAAAGATAAAGGCAATTCTCAATTTTGTAATTGAAAACTACCGAAACAGGCGCCTTTGTTGGATCCATGATATGCAAAAATTTGTCTATTGAGATCGCGGTGAGACTCCAACTAAACAAAAACGATCATTTACTTGATTTACTTGTTTATAGCAATTCTTTGAGATCTTTGAGATCTCTTATCCCACAAAAAGCAAACCTCGTCACAAAAACTGAACAAGAATTGCTCAATGGCACTAAGTGACACATAGCTGAGCCGAATTGCCAATCTTTTGTTAGTGCGTACCTGAAAGAAGAGTTTTTTGAATGGTTTTTCGGATAACTTATCTAGTTATCTAGTTATCTACTTATCTAGTTATCTAGTTATCTAGTTATCTAGTTATCTATTTATCTACTTACCGTAAATACTGTAATAGTCGTACAGTCGCGTAGTCGCAAAAGTTTTTTAGTATTTCATTGTTTTTCAAAGCGCTCGTACTTTCAAAAAATGCGTCTTTGGTATCAAAAAATAGCTGAAATTCAGGGATTCTGGAAAAGGCCTTAGGCAAGGCCGTAGAGCTGTCCCAAAGGTGCGCAAAAAAAGGTAGCATCTGTCCCACCCCCCCTTTTTTTTTACAAAAAAATAGCCCTGAATTTTAGCTATTTTTTGTTCCCCTGTTGTGCCGACCGGTTTAGAGTCTTGTCTCTTCAGCGGAAGGTCGAGGGTTCAATCACTCTGGCCAGGATAAAAATGTTTCTTTTCCCCCCCACAAGTGGGTTTTTTTTCTAACATTTTGGTAAAAGGGGTAATTGGGGGGTGAAACGGCCCCGGTGCCATAAAATTGTGTGTTTAACCTTTATCTCTTATTATGACCCTTTGTTTGTATCACATTATTGGTTTTCAATAAATGTATTTTTTTAAATACCTAAGCACTCATTGTAGCATGAACTAGTCTTGAGAAAAACGCGTTCAAAGCTAGACTACACAACACTCCGCATCGTCATTATGGGGATGGGGTGCTATTACAGTATTTATGGTATTTACTTATCTACTTATCTACTTATCTACTTATCTACTTATTATCTTTTCCTATACTCACCATGGAGTCACTGGCACCGCCGTCAACACCAACAACAAATCGGTGATGATTAGATTGAGAAGGAAAATGTTTCGCGCTGATCGAAGGCGACGATTCCCGCACATCGCTAAGACAACACCGCCATTTCCCAATAAGCCTGGAATAGAGAAACTTTTCTTGGGCTTGGCTTGGCTTGGCTTGGCTTGGCTTGGCTTGGCTTGGCTTGGCTTTTTATCATCAGATGTGAGACGAGTCACCAAAAAGTCACCGGTTTAATTACCCAATATTTTGTCAACTATTGGGTTGGTGAATTGAAAATCTCTTACTCACCAAATAAGAAGAGAAAACTGTACAAGATGATGAAGATCGTCTTCACGTAAACGTCTCTAAATCTCTAATTAATTAACAACTCTAATTAAGCGTCTAATTAAGCGTCTAATTAACAATCTAATTAACAATCTAGTCAACAATCTAATTAACAATCTAGTTAACAATCTAGTCAACAATCTAGTCAACAATCTAGTTAACAATCTAGTCAATAATCTAGTTAACAATCTAGTCAACAATCTAGTTAACAATCTAATTAACAATCTAATTAACAGTTTTATCAATCAAACCCGTTTTCTAAAAAGCATTTATTTCAGAGAACCACCGTACCACCAGTTTACATCTAATCAGCTCAAATTTTGATCACATTCGATAGAGAATAACAAGGCTCAGTCAATGTGAAAAAAATTGAGCTTATCAAATGGAAACTCGCAGAATTACGATGATTTAGATGTTTTTTAGAAAGCAGCACAAAACTCACGCAGTGACATCGTGAATATTATGCTTATCCTTGATGAATGATTGCATCGGAATACACGATCCATTCCACTCACCCGTTCCCATCTCTGGGTCTAAAATGAAATCGATTTTTTTGAAAACTCTTATCGAAACTCAAGCTTTGAGAATAGAGTTTAAAACTTAAAACTTTCAAAATCAAAAATCCGACAAGAATTGATTTGATTCAGTTGGGTAAATGAACCGAAAAGATTGCCAAAGTCAATGAACTGAAAGAATTGGCAAAGCGAATGAACTGAAAGAATTGCCAAAGCCAATTGTTGCCAAAGCTAATTGCTAAAGCTAATTGCTAAAGCCAATTGTTAAAGCCAATTGTTGCCAAAGCCAAATGCCAAAGCCAATTGCTAAAGCTAATTGCCAAAGCCAAATGCTAAAGCCAAACGCCAAAGCCAATTGCTAAAGCCAATTGTTAAAGCCAATTGTTGCCAAAGCCAATTGCTAAAGTCAATTGCTAAAGCTAATTGCTAAAGCCAATTGTTAAAGCCAATTGCTAAAGTCAATGAACCGAAACAATTGCCAACAAGGAAGAAAATCGTAATCTTCGAAGTTCATTGCCGAAAATTTCGTTATTTTTCAGTAAAAGTCAATCTTTTTTTCCAAAAAACTTCAAAAAAACACAAATTTTGACTCAAAAACGGTCAATTAGAAGAGTTCCGGCTTAATCCCCAATCGTTTTTTGAGAAATTTTTGTGACTTTCTCTCATCAAAACACCAATTTCCCGTTATTGTCTAGTTAGATGAATGAGGAAATAAAGTGGAGGAGTGAGAAGGAAAAGAATCGAGATTCACGGGGGGAAATGATGGGGATAAAGGAGGAATTGACAAATACGAGACACGGTGTTGAATTGGTGAATCATTTGGGGTAATTTGAGTGCAAGAGTTGCCTTAGAATTGATTGAAGATTGAAGAATCGATTTATTTCAATTCAATCAAAGCAATCCCACTAGAGCTTTACTGAGCTTTACTGTTTACAGTTTTCAATACTTTGCAAACGCACCCTTTCTAGTGAACTCTATAATTTAGCTTTCCTGGGTTGCTGCGAAAGATTTGAGTGCGCTAGAAAAGGTGTAGACGGAAAGTCTTCCGTGTGTACTTTGTGCTCACCGTTAAACGCGCCCTTTCTGTCATATGGATTCTTTTCTTCTTCAATTTTTTGTTAATACTGGCTTTTGGTTGTGTTTAGAAATGCACTAGAAGGGATTTGTTTAGATTTTTGAGTATAAAGTGTGAAGAATAAAGTTTTCTGCATCGATTAGTGCGCCAGATGATGTGCGTTTGTGAATAATGATAATTGAATAATGATAATTAGAATCAAAATCAAAGTTGTTAAGCAATTGGATAATGAATAGGAAAATGGATTGAGCAAAAAGCATGGGAAAAGTCTGTTTGAGAAGAAACAAACATACTGAATTTGTACTAGCCACAAAAAGAAACAAAAAATAATCAAATATCTGAAGAAATTTTTATCTGAATCACTAATTCAATGGGTGTACTGACTATAAATTATCCTCAAATCACCCCTTGCAAAATTGCAAGTCCAATTTTAGCAAATCGCTCTAAATCTTTCTCTTTTTTCTTTTCTTCTTTCAGCTTTCACGTGAATATTTCAATGAGCTCTTTGTTTTGCACTAAAGAGGAAACTCTTTTCAATCAAAAAGCGAAAAAAGGAAGAGATAAAAGGGAAGAAAATGAGAGTTCTCAAGTGGATCTCTTCACAAAACTCGGTTCTAAGAAAAGTGGAATGAAATTTGGTAAAATGATAATTAGTGGGTTTTTCTGAAACCGGATGTGACTATTTGGGTCGTTTAGAATTGGAAACTGTAATTTGTTAGATCAAGAACAAAAAACGGATTCTTTAAACAAATGGGAAACGTCGGGGAAACGTCTCGGCAACGACTGGGAAACGTCTGGAAAATGTCTGGAAAATGTCTGGAAAATGTCTGCAAAAACGTCTGCAAAACCTCTGGGAAAACGGCAGTGGGAAAAAATGGTTGATGGCAGAGGACGGGATGTTTACGAAATCGAAAAGGGTAGACCTATCTATCGGGCACGTGTGCCAGATGTAGAGCGATTGCTCGCTCGCACAAAGAGCACCTAGCCAGTCAGTTTACACAGTCGTTTTGTAGATCATCGATAAAGATATTCAGCTGGAGATTTGCACCCGGGGGTTTACGAGGTGCCAGATGGAGAGCGATTGTTCGCCCGCACAAAGAACACCTAGCCAATCATTTTCATTTAGATCTTTTAGAGCATTTTATCTCATTTAAAAACAAGATATTCAGCTGTAAATTTGTATCCAGGGGTTTTCGAGGTCGGCGAATCGATTGAAGATATTTATTTCATTAAATCTACCAACTAGAAACACTAGTTTCGTTCATCTAAACTTCAAAAAATGGGTTTTAGTTTTAGTAAAATGGGTTTTAGCCGTTTTACTCATCTTTGAAATCTCTTTTCTTAGCGCTAAATCACTTCTTGAGACACGCAACATTTCTCGTGATAAGTTTTTCTTAAGAATTTATCCCGAAAAAGCAAAAGAAAGCAAAAGAAAGCAAAAAAACGAGTAATCTAGTAAAGTTTGACTCAAAAATCGCAAAGTTTCATGAAAAAAAAATTCAAATTTCGTTGTTTTTGATGAAATTTTAACGAAAAGTCTGGGGATTTTGGAAAAAAGAAATAAAAATCAATGAAAAATCAATGAAAAATCAAAGAAATCAATGGAAAAACTGAAAAATCAATGGAAAAACCTTACTGAAAAGGTTTAATAATGAAATTTTCGAAGCAAAAAAGATTTAATAGAAATCCAAAGCTTTCAAAACGAAAAAAAAAAATCCGTTAATTTGATTGAATTTACTGCAAAAATTTCCCCCAAATTCCGCCTTTTTACCCAAATTTTTTTTACTAAAAAAAAAACAGAAAAAAAAGAATTTCGAACAGAAAAAGATTTTCGTTTAACCCAAATTCATTTTGTTTTTGTTTTTCTTTTTTCAATGAGATGTGATTGGAAGAGATTGGAAGAGATTGGAAGAGATTGGAGGAGATTGGAAGAGATTGGAGGAGATTGGAAGAGATTGGAAGAGATTGGAGGAGATTGGAAGAGATTGGAAGAGACTGGAAGAGATTGGAAGAGATTGGAAGAGATTGGAAGAGATTGGAAGAGATTGGAAGAGATTGGAAGAGATTGGAAGAGATTGGAAGAGATTGGAAGAGATTGGAAGAGATTGGAAGAGATTGGAGGAGATTGGAAGAGATTGGAAGAGATTGGAGGAGATTGGAAGAGATTGGAAGAGATTGGAGGAGATTGGAAGAGATTGGAAGAGACTGGAAGAGATTGGAAGAGATTGGAAGAGATTGGAGGAGATTGGAAGAGATTGGAAGAGATTGGAGGAGATTGGAAGAGATTGGAAGAGATTGAAAAAAGAAGAAAGAAACAAATTGAAGAATTAAATGAAAGAATGAAAGAACGAAAGAAAAGAATAGCTTTTGACGTGTGTTTTTAACAGAAAAACAGAAAATGACCGCTTTAAGAGATTTTTTGAAAGATTTTTTAACTTTTTGAGGTTTTTAGCTAGTAATTTTAGCTTAGAAATCTTTATTTTAACTTAGAGATCTTGATTTTAGCTTAGAAATCTTGATTTTAGCTTAGAAATCTTTGTTTTAACTTAGAAATCTTGATTTTAGCTTAGAAATCTTGATTTTAGCTTAGAAATCTTGATTTTAGCTTAGAGATCTTTATTTTAGCTTAGAAATCTTGATTTTAACTTAGAAATCTTGATTTTAGCTTAGAAATCTTGATTTTAGCTTAGAGATCTTTATTTTAGCTTAGAAATCTTGATTTTAACTTAGAAATCTTGATTTTAGCTTAGAAATCTTTATTTTAGCTTAGAGATCTTTATTTTAGCTTATGGATCTTGATTTTAAAACTTCACTATAACTACAGACTACAAAATATAGACAAAATGCATACAAAATACAGAGTTCGCAAAGCAAAGCAAAGAAAAGCAAAACAAAGCAAAAGAAACTTTGAATTTGTATAATTCTTGTAAAAGTATAATCCTTGTTTTCCTTGCTTTAAGCCTTATTCATCAGCAGACTTTAACTCTATGTAAACGCAACTCTTCTGGTGCACTACAATCACGATATTTATCGATTTGGTAACGAGAAAATGATTGGAAAAGAATTTGATGAGTTAGAAGAGATGGGTTTACACTTTTGCCAAAAGCAAATTGCCTTTTACCTTTTGCCAAAGTCAAAAGTACAAAAGAAAGAGCTGTAGAAGAGTATTTTAGAGACTATTCCAAACGGGCTTGAAGCTTGTCAGAATGGTTTATCCAGACAGATTAAATCAACAATTCCGGAAATCAAACCAGGATCGAAATTGGCCTGGAAATAGTCTTTAAAGCTATTTTGATAGGATACAGATTGTGCAGAGTAAGGCAACAATTATAGATTTAATGTCAAAGATTTCATTCAATAGATAAGCTTTTAAGGTTTAAGATACTGATAATGCAGAAGTGAGAATGGGTTTTGAAAGTCCACGTAGTCCAGAACTTCATCACATTTCTGTTCTTTCTTTCTTTCTCTTCTTCTTCTTCTTCTTTCTTTCTTTCTCTTCTTTCTCTTCTTCTTTCTCTTCTTCTTTCTTTCTCTTCTTTCTTTCTCTTCTTCTTCTTCTTTCTTTCTTTCTCTTCTTCTTCTTCTTTCTTTCTTTCTCTTCTTCTTCTTTCTCTTCTTCTTTCTCTTCTTCTTTCTTCTTTCTTTCTTCTTTCTTTCTTTATTCGTTCTCCTTTTCTCAAAATTGGATAAAATAGCCTTTCTTCTGAACATCCTCAATAAGCGGAAGAAGGCCATCAATAAAAAAAAGAATTTTTCCGTCAATAGAATTCCATTTGAGAAATCTTCTCCAGAATTTTGGAAAAGAAAAATGTTTGGGGATTCCCTTTTACATAGAATAAAGAGATGTGCAAAAGAATAAAGAGATGTGTAAAAGAATAAAGTGATGTTCAAAAGAATAAAGAGATCTTGTGGTTCAAAAGATGAATCTTATAGCC